CTCTCTGGGCCCGGCTATCCAGCCAGTTTCTAACCCAACGAAGCGTGCGCCAGTCCAAGCCAAGAGCAGCCAGTTTCTTGAGGAGAATGCTGTGGGAAACGGTGTCAAAAGCCTTGCTGAAGTCAAGGTAGACCACATCCACAGCCTTTCCCTCGTCCACCCAGCGCGTCACTTTGTCGTAGAAGGAGATCAGGTTCGTCAAGCAGGATCTGCCTTCCATAAACCCATGCTGACTGGGCCTGATCGCCTGCTTGCCCTTCAATTGCCGCATGATGACTCCCAAGAGGATCTGCTCCATGAGCTTCCCTGGTACTGAGGTCAAACTGACCGGCCTGTAGTTCCCCGGGTCTGCCCTCCGGCCCTTCTTGTAGATGGGCGTCACGTTTGCTAGCCGCCAGTCAGCTGGGACCTCCCCCGATAGCCAGGACTGCTGATAAATGATGGATAGGGGCTTGGCCAGCTCCTCTGCCAGTTCTCTCAGTACTCTTGGGTGGATCCCATCCGGCCCCATCGACTTGTGCACATCCAAGTGCCGTAGCAGGTCACCAACCAGTTCTTCGTGGATGGTGAGGGCCACATCCTGCTCCCCGTCCCCTTCCACCAGCTCTGGGTACTGGGTATCCAGAGAGCAACCGGTTTTACCACTAAAGACTGAGGCAAAGAAGGCATTGAGCACCTCCGCCTTTTCCTCATCTCTTGTAACTAAGTTTCCCCCCGCATCCAGTAAAGGATGGAGATTCTCCTTAGTCCTCCTTTTTGTGTTGATGTATTTATAAAAGCGTTTTTTGTTATCTTTAACGGCAGTAGCCAGCTTGAGCTCCAGATGAGCTTTGGCCTTCCTAATTTTGTCCCTGCACAGCCTCGCTACATCCTTATAGTCCTCCCTAGTGGCCTGCCCAATTTTCCAAAGATTATAAACCCTCTTTTTCCTCCTAAGCTCAAGCCACAATTCTCTGTTGAGCCAGGCTGGTCGTCTTCCCCGCTGGCTCATCTTTGGGCACATGGGGATAGACCGCTCCTGTGCCATTAGGATTTGCCTCTTGAATAGCACCCAGCCTTCCTGAACCCCTCTGCCCTTCAGAACCGCCTCCCATGGGACTCCACCAACCAGTGTCCTGAGCAGCCTAAAGTCAGCCCTCCGAAAGTCCAATACAGTGGTTTTACTGGTTCCCTTCCTGGCCCCGCCAAGAATAGAGAACTCCACCATTTCGTGGTCACTCTGCCCAAGACTGTTCCCGACAATCACATCCTCCACCAGTCCTTCTCTGTTTGTGAAGAGAAGGTCTAGCAGGGCACCACCCCTGGTAGGTTCACTAATCAGCTGCGTCAGGAAGCTATCTTCCACTTTCTCCAGAAACCTCCTAGACTGCTTCCTCTGGGCTGTGTTGTGCTTCCAGGATATGTCTGGGAAGTTGAAGTCCCCCACGAGTACAAGCGCTGACGATTTCTCAACTTCTGTCAGCTGCCTGTAGAACTCCTCATCCGTCTCCTCATCCTGGTTCGGCGGTCTATAGCAGACCCCGACCAGGACACTAGCCTTGTTGTCCCTGCCGATCCTAACCCAAAGGGACTCGATCTTGTCATTCCTAGCCTCGAGTTCTACAACATCGAAAGACTCTCTAATATAGAGAGCCACACCGCCACCCCTTCCATGCTGCCTGTCCCTTCTGAAGAGCCTATAGCCAGGCATCGCAGCACTCCAGTCATGAGACTGGTCCCACCACGTTTCCGTGATGGCAACCAAGTCGTAGCCTGCCCGCTGCACGATGGCTTCCAGCTCCTCCTGTTTGTTACCCATGCTGCGTGCATTGGTGTAGATGCACTTCAGCTGGGCCTTTACCTTATCCTCCGGCCTTGCCACTGCTCCCCCTGGTACAGCCCCAACAGTCCTCGCTCCAGCCCCATCCCCCTTCTTACCTAGTTTAAAGCCCTATCAATGAGCCCCGCCAGCTCCTGGCCCAGGATCCTTTTTCCCCTAAAGGATAGGGACCCGTCTACGGCCACCAGACCAGGTGCTGAGTAAACTGCCCCATGGTCGAAAAACCCAAGATTTCTGCGTAGGCACCAGCCCCGGAGCCACGTGTTTAACAGGTGGGCTTTCGTTGTCCTCTCCGTACCCCTCCCTGTCAACATAGGGACGGACGAAAAAACTACTTGCACTCCTGCTCCGTCCACTAACCGTCCCAGTCCCCTAAAGTCTCTTTTGATAGCCTTCAGGCTTCTGTTGTCAATGTCATCAGTGCCCGCCTGGATTATCAGGAGCGGATAATAATCAGAGGGGCGCACCAGGTTGGGGAGCTTCCTGGACACGTCCCTGACCCTGGCCCCAGGGAGGCAGCAGACTTCCCTACGGGTAGGGTCAGGCCGACAAATAGGGCCCTCTGTCCCCCTAAGGACAGAGTCTCCCACGACAATCACCCTTCTTTCTTTCTTGGTGGAGGCAGTTCTGATGCGTGGAGTCGACCTCCTCGCCCTAGGCATCCTCCTGGGAACACTTTGTATCTCTTCCTCAGCTACCGGTCTCTCAATCTCCAGGGCCTCAAACCTGTTTTGTAAGGGCACCTGGGAAGGTGGGGCCGGAGGGGGAGGGCATCGCCTGCCACGTCGCACAGGGACCTGTCTCCACTCCTCCTCAGCTCCCAGATCCCCTCCCTCGGCCCGACGGCGACAGGGCAAGGGGTCCACCCCCGTTTGGGGTGTCTCACCCCGGTACCTCTCCTTGATGCCCTGCAGGGAGTTGCTCCAGAAGTCAATCTCCCGCTCACACTCCCTAATGGCCCTCAGCCTCTCCACCTCCTCCTTGAGCTCCGCCACCATGCGGACCAGGTCATCCACCTGCTCACACCTCACACACGCGGCATCTCTGCCTCCCGTTGATGGCAGCAGCAGGCTCTGACACTCCCTGCATCCGTTGACCTGAACCGCTGCATTCCTTAACAGGCAGTCGGTCTGAGTGTGTACCGACCTCCTGCAGAGCGCTCCGTGCCTGGTGGAGACCATTATCACCTTGCTAACGACTGTCGTTAACAGGTGCTCGTGTGGGAGGGTGTTGCTCTCCGCCCTTCCTGCTCGCCCTGCCTGCGCGAACTGCCGCGCCACTCCCTGTTTGCCCGCCCTGTTCGCCGCGCTCCTGGTCGCTCGCGCTCCCTAGGGGCTGCTTTTGAACAGCCGGGGAGGGGACGCTGTTGGCTCCGCCTTCGCCTCGTCAGCGTCCCTCACGAGGGCTGCCGGCTCCTGGCGGCTCCCTGAAGTCGGCTCGATGCCGGAAAGTTAGCCCTGCCTGGCCCGATCCCCCGCTCCGCCGCAGAACGCGTCTGCCCCGGAGCCGATCGCCTCGGCAAATGGCAGTGAAATGGCGGTGGCGCCCGGTTTAAATAGCCCGCCGCTGTCGCTGCTGGCTCCGCCTTCGCCTCGTCAGCGTCCCTCACGAGGGCTGCCGGCTCCTGGCGGCTCCCTGAAGTCGGCTCGATGCCGGAAAGTTAGCCCTGCCTGGCCCGATCCCCCGCTCCGCCGCAGAACGCGTCTGCCCCGGAGCCGATCGCCTCGGCAAATGGCAGTGAAATGGCGGTGGCGCCCGGTTTAAATAGCCCGCCGCTGTCGCTGCTGGCTCCGCCTTCGCCTCGTCAGCGTCCCTCACGAGGGCTGCCGGCTCCTGGCGGCTCCCTGAAGTCGGCTCGATGCCGGAAAGTTAGCCCTGCCTGGCCCGATCCCCCGCTCCGCCGCAGAACGCGTCTGCCCCGGAGCCGATCGCCTCGGCAAATGGCCTCGGCAAATGGCAAATATTTAGTTCATAATAATCTTTCTCTATTAATAATAATAATGATTATTTTTTCCCCTTGTGCCTGAGGTCCATGGGCTCATCAGCCAAGCCCACAGAGGGGTGATTGCAGTGCCTTGGGCTGGTGCTGTGCTGCTGAGCTGGGCCGGGCTCATGGGACAGAGAGAGCTGCTGGCAAGAGGGCCCTGGTGCAGAGAGACAGCTGTGCCCAGGAGCAGCTCCTCTGCACAGCACAGCAGGGCTGGGGGCTCTGACCGCAGCTGGCACACAGAGAGGAGAGAAGGAGAGAGGACTTGGAGGCACTGAGGAGCGCAACAACAGAGGGAAGCGTGTGGCAGGACACATCTGCAGGCTCTTGACACTGTGAGGCTCTGGCAGCAGGGCCATGCAGGTGGGGTTGCCAGAGGGGTCTTCTACAGCTGGCACATCTGATGGCTGATAGCATCTGTCAGGGTGAGTCTCTCTGTTTCTCCAGAAATTAGTAGAAGATGCTTTAGGGAATGTCATTTATAAGGGGTCATTTCCAGAAGAAGATTGAGGCTTTGTTTATCTAAAGGAGAAGGCTTTTTTTTTTAGTTCTGTGCTTTCCGATTCCTGCACTGCAGGGGAGGCAAGTTTGAGGTTAATGTGTTCTCAGGATTGTACAGGAGACTGAGAATCCCAGAGCATTGCACAGAGAGATCAGAATGGAAACAATGAGATTCTGGCAGGTTCTCCTGTAAAGACAGAAGATCTCCTGGGGGGTGTGCTAAGACAGGGAATAGATTTTCCTCATTTAAGTCTGTTCTAACTTTGATCTGCATTGTCATCTTCGACAGGAGGCTGTGCTTAATGTCAGCAAATGCCCAACAGCAGTTCAGTCAGTGAGTTCCTCCTGCTGGCATTCGCAGACACGCGCGAGCTGCAGCTCCTGCACTTTGCGCTCTTCCTGGGCATCTACCTGGCTGCCCTCCTGGGCAACGGCCTCATCCTCAGCGCCGTAGCCTGCCACCACCGCCTCCACACCCCCATGTACTTCTTCCTCCTCAACCTCGCCCTCCTCGACCTGGGTTGCATCTCCACCACTCTGCCCAAAGCCATGGCCAATGCCCTCTGGGACAACAGGGCCATCTCCTATCAAGGCTGTGCTGCTCAGGTCTTTCTCTTTGTCTTCTTTATCACAGCAGAGTATTGCATTCTCACTGTCATGGCCTACGACCGCTACGTTGCCATCTGCAAGCCCCTGCACTACGGGAGCCTCCTGGCCAGCAGAGCTTGTGCCCAGATGGCAGCAGCTGCCTGGGGCAGTGGCTTTCTCAATGCTGTCCTGCACACGACCACTACATTTTCCCTGCCCCTCTGCCAAGGCAATGCTGTGGACCAGTTCTTCTGTGAAATCCCCCACATCCTCAAGCTCTCCTGCTCAGATGCCTACCTCAGGGAAGTTGGATTTATTGCATTTAGCTTTTGTTTAGTTGTTGGTTGCTTTGTTTTTATTGTGGTGTCCTATGTGCAGATCTTCAGGGCAGTGCTGAGGATGCCCTCTGAGCAGGGCCGGCACAAAGCCTTTTCCACGTGCCTCCCTCACCTGGCTGTGGTATCCCTGTTTGTCAGCACTGCCATGTTTGCCTACCTGAAGCCCCCCTCCATCTCCTCCCCATCCCTGGACCTTGCAGTATCTTTTCTCTACTCCATGTTACCTCCAGCACTGAACCCCCTCATTTACAGCATGAGGAACCAGGAGCTCAAGGATGCACTGAGGAAATCGTTTGAATACATATTTCTTAAGAAACTATAATGTGCCTTTACATTCCGAGTTTATCTCAGAAACAGTTAGGAAAGTAATTTGGTATTATTTTTCTTGATAAATATGTTCTCCAAGTTTGTGGAGTCGGTTTATATAATGTCATTGTTAGCCTCCTACCTGTTCATTTATCTCTTTACTTTTCCTAATCATCTCATGTATATGTAAAGCCAGGCTTTCTGTGTACCTATAGACAATGAAGAAGCGAGCAGAAATTCATAGGTCTCAGCTGCAGTGTATTTCCTTCACCTGTGAACTAGCAAAGAAGCTATTTAAAAAAAAAAAAAAAAAAAAAAAAAAAAAAGCTCTTTGTGACCGTGATGCTTAACCACTTCCTGAAACAGAGCCTCAATAGACACAGCTGATTTTCAGGAGGACAAACGTTTTCATAACGGGAGCCCACCTCTCCCCTCTCCTTCCATTTTTCACCTTTTATTGCTGAGTGTGACATCATATGGTATGGAATATCTCTGTGGCTGGTTTAGGTAAGCTGCTCTGGTGATGTCCCCTCCCTGTCTCTTGCACACCCACAGCCTGCTGGCTCTTTGGGGAGGGAGGATTAGAGGGATTCCTGATGCTATGGCAGTACTGCTCAGCAGAAGACAAAACACAACCGTGATACCAGTGCTGTTCTAGCTACTCAAGCAGAGCACAGCACTGGGTGGGCTTCTACAGGAAAAGGTAACTCCATCCCAGCCAGACCCAGTACAGTCACATTGAAAACACAGCACCACAGGGGCTGCTCTGCAGAGACTAAATCCGTCCCAGACAGAGCCAGTGCAGGGCCACACACTGGACAAGAAGGCTCCCTCTGAGCTCTGTGGGGAGTCAGGAAGGTGCTAATAAGCAGGACGACTGAGGAAGCCCAAGACCTTCTGAACATTGTCTTAGTCCCACCTGGGAGGCAGTGCTGGGCAGTGGGAAGTGCTATGAGAAAGACCTGTGAGAAGGCCGTGAGAAACGAGGAAATATCACTGCCATTGCCCCAGGCTTGCAAAACATCACTCACTGGCCTCCTCTGTCAGGCCAGCGTGAGCCCAGGAGACAGCAGTGAATGGAGCCCACAGAGCGTGAACCTGTCTGAAGTGGACTGAGCAGAGCTCAAGTGCTCAATCTGGTGTGAGCAGGCATAAGGGAATTCTGCAGCCCCAGGGCACGCAGCAGCCCCAGCAAAGGAGCCTGGCGAGTGATTTCTTGCAGCCCTGAGGCAATGACAGTGACCCCATGAGCTGGGTCTGCCTCCCAGCCTGCCCAGCACTGCCTAGCAGAGTGCCCCCATGCCCCAGGCACCACAGCCCCCTGGATCTGCAGAGCAGCACCACCAGCTGGGGCTGGGGCTGGGAGTGGGAGGGTGCTTCCCTGAGTGTCTTCTAGGTCAGCTTCAGGCTTATGGAATTGAGCGTGATCTTCACTGTGCACAAGGATCTGACAGACCACCTACAGGCACAGGGCTGGAACATTGCCTGAAAGGTCCCTCCTGCCCTAGCACCTCCCAGGACTGGCACGGAACTCGCTCCTGTGTGTCAGAGAGGCTGGGAGCCCAGCAGGTGTGCCATGAGCTTGGAGGATCACAACCAGATCACTTCCACCTGGGCAGGTCCTGGCCCAAAAATGGGGTGTTTTGTAGGTGTGGTATGTGGGTAGTTTGGGTCTGGCAGCCAGAAGATGTCGCGCTGTACAGAAAGGTGGAGCCCCTCCCTTGATGGACAGTAGTGTGTGGTCTGTGATGTAAGCAAGCAGAAGTGAAGCTATGGGCCTCGGGTATATAACACCATGTGACTCGACAATAAACGCCATTTGCCATCCACCACATCGGTGTCTGTGAGCCAATGGACTGAGCGGCCTGGGGTTGGTTGCCGTGCCGTTCCTGAACCAGGTCGCCACTGCCCCCTGAAGGCAACAGAGTAAACAAATGTTTAATGGGAAGGTTTGGTGTTCTTCTGTGTTTAGGGTATGGGCAGGCTCTGTGGTTTAGTTCATTTTTACATCTGCCTATAAGCCGAGGTTTAAATAGAGCATTTTAACACTAATGTTAAGGGAAGGGATTAGGGTGAGCAAGAGAGTAAAAGTAAGGGAAAGGGGCTATAGGCTGAGCTTTGCTTCAAGGGATACTTTGTGTTCAAGCATTAGAGAAGTGGATTTGTGTCAGAGTGTTGGAACAACATTTAGATTTAAGGATTAAAACTACTGGTTAAAATAGTGTAAGGGCCATACATGACTGTACAAGTCAGTGTTGCTGCATAATCTAAATTACATGATTCCTCTTACCTCTACGAAATCATTAATTTCTGCTGGCAATGCTCCTCTTGCCACCCGAAAATCTCACATCTCTCTTGTCCAGGTTGCTCCTGACTTCCCCGTATCTTATTGGGATCAGCTTTCTGATGACATCCATGACACAGGCAGTATATGTCTCACCTCTGTGGGCTATTCTGTTCTTCAGAGAGAAGTGGCATTGTAGTCAGGAGGGAAAAGGGCCTAAAGGAGTATCCTGCCCAGTATGCCCATCAGCTCTGTCTCTCTACAAAATTGAGCATCCTACCTACTAGTTTTGTTTCCAGAATAGCTTCCATGGATCTTGAGTTCTTTTTCCAGGCCTTCACAAATACTTCAGGTTTTTATGTGTAGAGATGGGATAAGGAAAGCAATGCACAGATAGAACTGAGCTTAGCAAGGGATGCAAAAAATAAAAGGAAGAAATTCTAGGGATACATAGCTCAGAAAAGAAAGGCCAAGGAGAGTGTACCCCCTCTGATGGATGAGAAGGGTAAACTGGTAATGACAGGCATGGAGAAGCCTGAGGGCCTCAACAACATCTTTGCCTCAGTCTTCCCTGCCAGTCAGGCTTCCCAAGTCTTTCATTTCCCTGAACCCATGGATGGAGGCTGGGAGGCAAAGTCTCACCTGCTCTTAGTGAAAAGCAGGTTTGAGACCACCCGAAGAAACTAAACAAGTACAAGTCTATGGGGCTTGATGACTTGCATCCCAGGGTCCTGAGGGAACTGGCTGATGTAGTTGTCAAGCCTCTCTCCATCATATCTGAAAAGGCCTGGTGGTTGGTTGAAGTCCCTGGTGACCTGAAAAAGGAAAACATCATTCCCATTTTTAAAAAAGGATAGAAAGGAGGACCCAGGGAACTACCGAATGGTGAGCCTCAACCCTGTGCCTGACAAGATCATGGAAAACATCCTTCTGGAATCAGTGTCAAGGCACATGCAAGACAAAGAGGTGATCCGAGACAGCCAGCATGGCTTCTCCAGGGAGTAAATCTGGTAGCTTTCTACAATGGAGTGACTACATCAGACAACAATGGAAGACAGACCACCTACTTGGATTTCTGTAAGACCTTTGACACTATCCCACATGACATCCTGATCTCCAAATTGGAGAGATACGCTTTTGATGGCTGCACCATTCAGTGGATAAGGAGTTGGCCTGAAGGTCACACTGAGAGAGACGTGGTTAGTGGATCTATGTCCAAGTAGAGGCTGGTGATGAATGGTGTACCCCAGGGGTCAGTCCTGGGACAGGTATTGTTTAATATTTTTATCAATGACATAGACAGTGGGGTCAAGTGGACCCTCAGCAAGTGTGCAGATGACACGCCAAGGTGAGTGGTGCAGTTGATGCAACAGAGGAAGGGATGCCATCCAAATGGGTCTGGGAAAGCTTGAAATTTGGCCCCATGTGAACCTAAGCAGGTTCAATAAGTCCAAGTGCAAAGTGCTGCACCTGGGCCGGGGATATCCCATATAGGAGGATAGGCTGGGAGAAGAACTGATTGACAGTAGCCCGTCAGAGAAGGACTTGGGAGTTCTGCTGAACGAAAAGCTCGACCTGAGCCAGCGGTGTGTGCTTGTAGCCCAGAAGGCCAACTGCATCCTGGGCTGCATCAGTGGAGGAGTGGCCAGCAGGTGGAGGCAGGTGATTCACCCCTTCTACTCTGCCCTTGTGAAGCTCATCTTGGAGTCCTGCATCCAGGACTGGGGCCGCCAGCACAAGAAGGGTGTGGGTCTGTGAGAATGGGTCTAGAGGAGGGCCACGAAGATGATCAAGGGGCTGGAACACCTCTCCTATGAAGAAAGGCTGAGAACACTGGGGCTCTTCAGCCTGGAGAAGAAAAGGTTCCCGGGTGACCTCATCGCAGCCTTTCAGTACTTAAAGGGGGCTTATAAAAAAAATGGAGTGTGACTCTTTGCTCAAGGACATCACAGTCCCTTCCCTGCCCCAAGGGGACAAACAGCTGAAGTTATGGATAGGAGTGGGTTTGAAGATGAGATGTTTTGTGTGTGTGGTGGAGGGTTAGGTGGTCAATTTAACATTTAGGGATTAGAGGTCAACTTCTAGGGCTAATGTAATGGAAGGGCTTTGAGGGAGGGATTGGTGTTCTGCTCAAGATGCCTGCTCAAGGTGTAGGATAAGGGCAAGCTTTGTGGGTCAGAGTTTTGTTTAGATCTTGGGTGAGGGCTGGGGCTAACGCTGGCATTCTAATTAATGATTAGGCTTAATCATCATTCTGCTTGACCTTCAAGTACAAGATGTGTTTGACATCTGCCTTTTCCAAGTCCCGAGGAACCTCTTTGGTTAACCTGTCCTTTCCAAGGCCTCTCAGATAGATCTTATGACAACGTCTGCAGCAGTTCCACCAGCATGTCTCTCACCCTTCCCACTCAACTGCTAAGCAACCTGAGGATTGAGCAGGGGGATGATGAAGGTTTGGGAAAGGGCTTGGTTAAAACCTCTGAGCACAGCCTTTATGGGCTTCACACAGACAGTGAGGGTGGTGTCACAGAAAACAGTGACACTCGTGAGGGCTAAAGAGCAGGTGGATAAGACCTTGGGCCTGCCAACACAGGATGCGCACACATTAAAACTGTATGAGAGGGAAGAGGAAGATTGGATCCAAAATGTAGATTATGAAAAGAAAGACCATGAGTATTACCATGGCACTGCAGGAGAGCTCCAGCAATGGGGCAAAACCACAGAAGGTGTCTATGACACTGGGGCCACAGAACTGTAGCTGGGAGGAGGAGAAAGAATTCCTGTACGTGAGAGAAATTCCCCTGGTTCAGGTACAGCTGCCTTCTGGAGTCAGACCTTCCACTTCCCGAACCTTGCAGAGAACAGGGATGGCATACAGCCCAGGGCTGACCGTAGGACATGACCCCAGCAGGAAGCACTGCGGTCATGCAGAAGGTGCAGCTGAGAGTGCTGCCACCTCTGTGAGCAAAGGGGGTGCTGTCCCCAGCCAGGAAGCTGGCCAGCATCTGGCGCAGGGTGCTAGAGCTGCACAAGGTTTGCAAGGAGGAGAAATCTCCCTCAGGAAGAAGGCCACGGGCATCTGCAGGTGTTTGGTGGCCAGCACCAGCCCAGTGATGAGGGTGTTCCACATCCCAGTCACTGTGCTGGTCATGTAAGAGAGGTGGGAGAGATGTTTGTAAGGGTTGAGGAACTTCCATATTCACAGTAGTGGAAACTCAACCAATGATGTCTTATTGCACCATTCCCCTTTCCTCATGGAAACCCTTTTAGAGCATTCTGGTCCCCTCTGTCTTGTTGAGATAAAAATTTCCAAGCAGTTTCTTCCCCAGTTCCTAAATGGAACAGTGAAGAAATTTCAGAGCTGAAATTATCCCTGCCTGTCATGGCCAAGGTATCCTGCAATACAAAAGGAACAAAATAGGGGTTAAGGAATCATTGGTTCTCATGTTTGACAACCACAGTCCAACAGCACAAATCACACTTTTAAAAATCAGTCTCTGACATCTACAGGGAGAAGCAGTCAGTGATGACTTCAGGCTGCTTCAACCACCACACCCTAGCAGAGACCTTGCTGCCTTGGGGAGCTGTCAGCCCTGAGGCCTTGGGGACACCTCCAGGGAGCCCAAGGGCACAGAGCAAGCGATGCCATGGTCGGGTGCTGTGCTGCTGAGCTGGGCCGGGCTCCTGGGCCCAAGGGGAGTTCCTGGCAAGCGCTGCAGAGAGACAGCTGTGCCCAGGAGCAGCTCCTCTGCACAGCGCAGCAGGGCTGGGGGCTCTGACCGCAGCTGGCACGCAGAGAGGAGAGAAGGAGAGAGGGCTTGGAGGCACTGAGGAGCGCAACAACAGAGGGCAGCGTGTGGCAGGACACATCTGCAGGCTCTTGACACCGTGAGGCTCTGGCAGCAGGGCACTGCAGGTGGGGTTGCCAGAGGGGTCTTCCGCAGATGGCACATCCGACAGCTGGTAGCATCTGTCAGGGTGGGTCTCTCTGTTTCTCCAGGTAGGAGTAGAAGATATTTTAAAGAATGGTATATATGACTGGATTTTTCAAAAGGAAGACCAAGGCAGGGGCTACCTGAAAGGCAAGACTTTTACTGTAGCTTGTGCTTGCAGATACCTGTGGTAGAGTGGAGGCTGGTTTCATGGTAATAGGTGGTCAGGTTTGTACTGCAGACTGAGACTGCTAGAGTATTGAAGTGAGGGATCGATATTTCATCAATGAACTTCATGAAGTCCCTTCCCACACCTCAGCCCACAGACTCCACCAACATCATCATTGTGGTCCTCTCAGGTTTTATCCTAGCTGATCATTAGAAGCTGCAAACCCTCCAATGACCAGTGCTCTTTCTTTGGGAGGTCTCTGACAGTTTGAGATGATCACAGATCATTTGCAACAAGCAGGAGCTGCCTCGTCTGCAGGCAGAGCTGCAGCACAGGAGGGTCTGCTGAGTGTCCGTCTGTCCCTCCCTGGCCTTGCCTCCCCTGGCAGCAGCATGCTGGCATTCCTCCTGGCTTCTCCAGCTGGCCGTGCTGCTGCTGGTCTTGTTCGCAGGCTGGCTGGGGATGGGGGTTTCACATGCCCATGGAGTGAGCCTTCGGTGTGCTTGTGGGACGTGGAGTATGGGGACAGGGTGAGGGGTGTGGAGATGTGCAGTTTGTGCCTGGATTCCTCTGCTCTCAGCAGTGTCCAGGTTCTTCTCAGATCAATGTCTGAGTCCAGCTTTCCTGCAACACTCACACAGTGGCGGAGACCAGCACTGATGGACAGATTGTCTGTCCTCACTAAAGGACACTCTGCACTGTAGGGACAGTCCCTTTTTCTCTGAGCAGACACAAAGTTTCCCTTCAAGTGCAGGGGGAATGCCCAGGATTTCTGTTTTAGAAAAACTCAGCAGTGTCCAGATTCTGTAGGCACTGGAACAGGCATCACAGGGAAGTGGTCACAGCACTGAGGCTGTCAGAATTCAAACATTTGGGCAACCCCCTCAGGCATATGGACTGATTTTTGGGTGGTCATGTACAGATTCAGGGGTGGGATCTGATGATCCTTGTGCTCCAGGAACATAGGAGGAGAATTGTCCTGTAGCTCAAAGACCGGCCAACACAGGGCAGCTGAGACCAGAACTGATGGATTGACTGGCTCTCCTCTCTGAAGGGCACTCTGCTCTAAAATGCAGTATCTGTGACTCTGAAGATCTACAAGGTTTCACTTGGAGTGCAGCTGAATGCCCAGGATTTATGCCTTAGGACTCCTCAGATGTGGTGGAGCAGCTGAACAAAGAGTACAAATCAAACAAATAAATAAACAAATAAAGACATAAATCTCCATGTGTCTGCTCTGTGATGAACTTTGAGCAAAACTGGGGAAATCTGATATGAACTGAAGTGAATCTGAGACTGCCCCATGTTCCTACCATGTTCCTACCTTGAGCTGTAGTGCAGGACTGATTCTTCCATTGCCCACAGAAGAACACTCTTCTCTCAGAGAGACTCAGTATCAGCGGGAAGTCATTAAAGGGAACTTCAAAATAACTGCCTGCAAGTGGAAAATCTGTTTGACGGTTTTAAACAATTGAATTTTCCTCTGATATGTCTGCTGTACATTATTACTATTCTTTCTCTTTGTGCAGGACCACTTCACAGAAATAACAGATGCCCAACAGCAGCTCTGTGAGTGAGTTCCTCCTGCTGGCATTCGCAGACACACGGGAGCTGCAGCTCCTGCACTTCACGCTCTTCCTGGGCATCTACCTGGCTGCCCTCCTGGGCAACGGCCTCATCCTCAGCGCCGTAGCCTGCGACCACCGCCTCCACACCCCCATGTACTTCTTCCTCCTCAACCTTGCCCTCCTTGACCTGGGCTGCATCTCCACCACTGTGCCGAAAGCCATGGCCAATTTCCTCTGGAATACCAGGGCCATCTCCTATCAAGGCTGTGCTGCACAGGTCTTTTTCTTTCTGTTCTTTATATCAGCAGAATATTTTATTCTCACTGCCATGGCCTACGACCGCTACATTGCCATCTGCAAGCCCCTGCACTACGGGAGCCTCCTGGGCAGCAGAGCTTGTGCCCAGATGGCAGCAGCTGCCTGGGGCAGTGGCTTTCTTGATGCTCTTCTGCAGACTACTAATACATTTTCCCTGCCCCTCTGCCACGGCAATGCTGTGGACCAGTTCTTCTGTGAGATCCCCCACATCCTCAAGCTCTCTTGTTCAGGTTCAGACTACCTAAAGGAAGTTGGACTTCTGGTGGTTAGTGCATGTTTAGCATTAGTTTGTTTTGTTTTCATTGTGCTTTCCTATGTGCAGATCCTCAGGGCAGTGCTGAGGATGCCTTCTGAGCAGGGCCGGCACAAAGCCTTTTCCACGTGCCTCCCTCACCTGGCCATGGTCTCCCTCTTTGTCAGCACTGCCATACTTGCCTACTTGAAGCCCCCCTCAATCTCCTCTTCTTACTTGGACCTGATGGTTTCATTTCTGTACTCAGTGCTGCCTCCAGCAGTGAACCCGCTCATCTATAGCATGAGGAACCAGGAGCTGAAAGCCACACTGAAGAAACTGATTCTAGTGGTAATATTTACTTAGCAATAATTTGGCTATCTCACTTTTCTAGTTTACCTCAAGTTAATATCAGGCAATATATGACCTCTAGGTATAGCATTTGTCCTTGTTTCAGCTCGGAGAGTGTTAATTTTCCTCCTAGTAGCTGGTAGGGTGTTATATTTTGGCTTAGGATGAGAAGAGTGCTGATGACATGCTGATGTTTTACTTGTTGCAGAGCAGTGCTTACAGCTAATTAGAGCTAATGGTTGTGTGGTATTTAGCTGCCGGCCGGGTTAAACCACAACGATCCTTTTTAGCAACCAACTTGGGGCACGAAGGGTTGAGATAACGACAGATCTCACCAGAGTGTGTTAAACTAAAATTGGTATAACTATTAGACCTCCTTAATAGTTGCTAGTCACAATGCTGATTGCTTTAATATCAAGTCTGCTGCACCTGTTTTCCAAACTGAGTTTTATAGCACGTTACTTTTTGTATGTGCTCCCTGTCATGCTGTTTATACTTTCTGGGCCCTGGTTTAAGATTGTTATGGTATTGTGAGGTGTAACAGTGGCTTATGAGACGATGAAATTTCTGGTCATGACCCTAACCTGGTATTTGTACTCAGCACTGTCATCGACTCTATACTTTGGAAACCATATCTCAGAAACTATTAGCAATTACACCTATTGCCTTTATTTTTATTTATTTATTTATTTATTTTTGTTGTTGTCAGGGAACCAATCTGTGGAGGGGGAAGAAGGAGACATTTTTTCCTACTCATTCAACCTTCCTTTCTCCTTCACCTCCCTCTTATCCTCCGAGCTTGGTACGATAGTTCTCCAAGATGTTTAATATCCTTGGGACACCCAGACTAGCATGTTCTTGTTGTTATGTCTCCTGAATGTGCTTCAGGTTTTGTTTAAGGTTAAACAACCACTTAGGAATTTTATCCAGAGATCTGTCCTGAGGCGGGATATTTGTTAGTGCCAGGGAGTGTGGGAGGATACGGGCAGGTTTCTAGAGCAGTGGGCACCTCCAGTGTTTTGGAAATTCTCCCCTGAACAACTGCAAAATCCTAAAAAATGGGTAGAATGCTTGAAAAAAGGGTGTCACGACTCTGGCAGTTCCAAAGTGACACAAATCACTGTAGTGTGCTGGGGCGTGGCTCATGCTTATCGAGCTGCAGCTGATACTACTACCAACTTAGTGACAGACCCTGCAGCCACTCCAAGTCCTGTGACAGACCCAACGGCCACTCCGACCACTATGATGGACCCTGCAGCCGCTCCAGCTCCTGCTCCTGCAGCTGCTCCGGCTCCTGTGTCTGGGTCAGAGAAAGGAGCTGCAGCAGTGCAAGTAGCCCCTGCAGAGAATATTCCATGTCGGTTCTGTACATGGTGGTGCCTATAGCACTGAACCCCCTCATCTACAGCATGAGGAACCAGGGGCTCAAGGAAGCCTTGTGGAAACTCTTTGGACACATGCTACTTTGGCACCAATAATGTGCCTATAAAATGAACAGGACAGACAGGTTTTCTGAAAAACATCTTCATAAAACAGCTTGTAATTCTTCTATTATTTTTAAAATTATTTCTTAAACTTGTCATTTTGACTGAATTCTACTTGTGTCATCCTGCCGATTAATTATTATCTGTCACCCAATCATTTAATATACCTACAGAACTGGGTTCTCTGTAGATAAATAGAATAAAGAAGCTGTGAACTTTGTGGGTGTCAGCTGCCGCCTCTTCCCATCTCCTCTGGATTTAGGGGAGCAGCCCCAGCACACAGGAGGGGCTTACCACCCCAGTATGATCTGCATATACACAACATTCTTCACATAGAGCTGCACACAGTCCTCTTTGTTGTAAGAAAATCAAATCCAACCCTCTATGGTTTTGGAGTACCACTTCGGATAATGACCTAACCAATTTTTCCAGAGCTGTTACTGATTGCTCTATACGGCCCAGATCCTCGTCTACGGCAATTAGAAAAGTAAATTCCTGGCTTTGTTTTATCAGGGAAGCAATTCCAGTTGAACCTGCAGCCCCGAGGGCCATTAAAGTGGCTAAGGTGATGGCCGTAATAGGCTCCCTCTTTACCAGATGGTATTCAGCCACTGTGTGATGGGTATACATATACTCTTCAGTGTGGTATAGAATCCTTGGTATAATGACCACCTGTACACAAAAATCATGAGATGTGCTAAACAATTTTAAAGATAGGCAAGGAGTGACTCCCAACGATGAACATACCCACCTAGTGTTATTTGCAGGAATTAACCATTTGTGTGTTTGGCCCATTTTTTTCAGTGGCATGGCACAGATCATTTTTATCTCTTGGAACTGTGCCAATACATCTACCTTTTCCCGTAACTTGAGTCAAAGTTATCCTGATTTCCTGACCCCAACTGTACTTGGAAGGATTTGACTCATTTGAATATTCAGACCTCCCCATATCTCCTATAGCTATATGGGGGCTTAACACTTACACATAGCCAGCACCCTTCAGTTATCTCAGGATTAGTTTGATTTAGTACCTGGAAACTAGCATTTATAACTTTCCACATACTACTCTCGGGTACAACCCCTTTCTTTCTTTTTTTTTTTCAATGCTTGGAAGCAGTGTGGGAAAGGATAACTCTGTCGACTTATTAGAAAACACTGTAGTAGGTTGGGCAGTCCCAGGTATCTTTACAGTCTGGACAACCAAACCTTCCCCTAAGAACTCTTTATTAGGCCTGACTACCTTGGAAGTCTCGGGTTTTTCCTTCTTTATTAGTATGAGTCCTCCCCTGTCAGTTCCAGGTTCTGTATACCTTATTCCCCACACTCTTCCCATGTTCCACCCTCTATCCGTGGGTTGGGTAACATTTAAAAAGAGATATTTACAGTTTCCACGTCCTCCCCACCCTTGCGGTGGAATGCACCCATATGGACCCCATTGGACCCTTAGGTATTTATCTCTACTGTATCCCGGTATCTAACTAGGGGCTATAGTCTCACAACCCCAATAGCTGCAGTAATATTGATTAGGGGAGTTGCAGTACCCCTTTCCAGGATTCGAACTCGGGCACATATAAAATCCCATATATTCCCAGCATCGGGGCCTTGGGATCAGCTGACATAGTGTAGAAGTAAAGCTTGCCCCCCCCCAACGTTATCTGGGTTACAATAACCTGTTGATCTTCGAATCAACTTAAAGTCTGTTTAAAAGGTTGGTGGGGGTGGTGTTGAGTCGCTATGCAGGATGAAATCACTGCGAGAACCCCCAAATACCAATAGGAATGGCTGAGGCCCATTTCTTTCCCCACTTATTCACTCCTCTGCCTCACTCGTCAGTTGGGTTGCAGCCAACTACGAGGTTTTAGTTCTTCTTGGCAGCAGTAGTGTTCTTCAGGGGAGAGCCTCTACCTTAACCCACGGTACCTATTAAGTTCATCGCAATGTGAGCTTCAGGTCTTTGTTTCCTGGAGCGATCTCCCACTTCTCGTCACAGATGGGTCCTTTAACACGGATGGCATGTGTCCATCCTTTCTCTGCAGTCCGGACGACTGTTTCTGTAGTAAGCAAAACAACATAGGGGTCTTTCCCATCGTGGTGTTAAAAAAAAAAAAAAGTCTCTTTCCAAGTATTAATTAGAATTGAGGGTGATCAAGTGGCACATCCAAGTCATAGGGCATACCATATAGTATTTCAAAAGGAGAAATTCCTACCTCAGTTCTGGGCTGCGTCCATATGTTTAACAGTGCAAGGGGTAAGCATTTTACCCAAGAAGCCTTTGTTTCCAGCATAAGTTTTGTTAGTTGTTTCTTAATTTCACCATTCATTCGCTCTACCTTTCCAGAAGAGGAGGGGTGCCAGGGGCTGTGAAAATCCCACTCAATCTCTAAGGCCTGCATTAATCCTTGCAGTAAAGCTTTACACCCATTCAGTCACGTGGTCAATTAGGACAAACAAGTAACTCAGTAAAGTCTACCTGTATACTTTGGAAAGGTCAAAGTCCTGGCTCCCGTCCCCCTCTAGGTAGGTTACAGAAGACCTTTTTATTTACCTTTTGACATATAGTACGTCCTCTGTATGTGTGCTTCCCTAAAGAATATATATTCCTACACAGACATGCTTTCTTAGAACAACATCACACATTGCTTGCACCTCCCAATGACTCTTCTGATGTAAAACAGTTAATATTTGCCTCATTATCACTTTATTCAGCATTTCTCTCCCATCAGGGAGTATCCATTTTCCTTCAGACTTCATAGCTCCTGATTCCTTAAAAAAATCTTTCTTTTAAAACTTTTTAGTTCTTTCTTAATTTTCAACAATTCCCTGAATCCTCTCTGCATTTATTCTTTGTTTTCCTTCAGACATTAGATGCCTTAAATACCTGACTTCTCTTTCTCCATACTGTAATTTATTTTTCAATACTCCCAAGCCCTGCTTTCCCAGAAAGTTAAATAGCTTGTTAGTAGCTTTCTTCACAACTCTTTTCTCCTGTCCTGACAATAGAAAACAATCCACATATTTGTTAACATTAATACCTCCTTGGGAGGTTGTAATTGCTCCAAAATCTTTTTAGAACTTACCCAAATAGATAGGTGGCCCTGTAAACCCCTGAGGTAAAATTGTCCACCTATATTGTTGCTTCCGCCCCCATTTCAGGGTCTTTCCAGTCAGAGGTGAATATATGTTTGCTCTCAGGGCCTGAGAGCACTCCATTAATAACACTGTTATTCCAGTCTAACAATTTACTATTTGGATGCCCAATTTAATCATCAAATCCCTTCTCAACAAGTTAGTCCCTGCCTTGGGTACATACAATAATTACTCAGTGATCATTTTATCCCCTGGTCTCAGCTTGGTATTCCCCAAAAGTGGCACTGTTATCCCAGCCCCTTCTACCCCCATCACATTTAGGGTTTCATTAGTTAATTTAATCCCTGATACTTTACAAGTCAGTAATGACTTAGCTGCCCCAGTGTATTGGGTTTGATGGCAAGGTTCGGGGGGTGTGAGGGGTGTGGGGGTGGGAAACTGCAGTGGCAGCCCCTGTGAGAAAAACCCCGAAACCTCCCCGTGGTAGATAAGGGACAATTTCATCTGGCCCCAAAGGGGCCCACTGCTGCCCAGAGCCAAGCCATGAGCAATACAGTCCGTGCCTCTGTGAGAGCACATCCATGAAAACAAACAAACAAAGAAACAAACAAAAACCTGCTGCTCAACAGCAGTTGGGAGAGCGAGAAACCCCCCCGCAGACACCAAAGTCAGTGCAGAAGGAGGGGGAGGAGGCGCTCCAGGCACTGGAGCTGAAGCCCCCCTGCCGCCGCTGGAGAGGCCCCTGGTGGAGCAGGTTGTTCCCCCCTCCTGTCCCCCTCCCCGATGCTTGGGAAACTGACCAAACACCACGGAAAATATACCAAAACGTCTAGACTGTTACTTAGATAATGCCTACATCACCTTTCCCTGCTCATTCAACTTCAAACAGCTCTGTTAAATACTACATGCCACACCTTTAACACCTTCAGCAACCCTTTTAACACTTCCTTTATCTTTCTCCAGCCTGTACTTTTCTAATACCAGCACCAAAGGCTCAGTCAGGGTCCAACTTAATTCCATACCTTTTCCCTCCAAGATAAACAACATATCAGTATAGCATATTTCATCCAATTTTTCTTCTTTCTTCCTTCTTCCACTGCAGATACTCCTATTCGAAGTGGCCAGCCTGGCCACACTTAAAACATCTTATCAAAGCCTGTCTCTGCTAGGACTCAGGCCACAACACAGGCAGCCTTCTTTGCCTGCCATTCCTTCATCTCTCTTCCTCTCCTTTCCATCCTGGCCCTGACTCCCCCTGAGGATTTTCTTCCTCTTTCTCCAACCCTCTGCCTCACTACCCGCTGCACTGTCAATACCATTAGTTTCGCTCTCCTTTTTTTTTTTTTTTCCTTCTTATCTCCCCTCCAGACACACACCTCCAGGGCCTCCCGCAGGAAGGTCCCGCAGTCAGTTCACTACATCCCCCCACCTTCTGAAGCATTTTCTGCGTATTTTGCCAGGCTTTAATCACACAATGAACTTTCAAGAGCCCTTGGGATACTGGGTCCTCAGGTCTCATCCCCAAGTACTTTCTCATTCTGACCCCAAGTCTCTCATATGATCTCTGTGTTGCACACTATTATTATTCCAGCCAGGATTGGCAAATGGGTATTTCTGCCCTGCCAGTATTACCCCTAGTCCTGGAGGATGAGCTCTTTCCCATTCTTGTATAGCAGTTCTCCTTCTGATCATTCCCATTTCTTTCCCTGTAAACAACATACTTAGAGACATAATTCCCTCCCCCAGGAGTATAAATCAGGTAGTAGGAACTGGTCTAATTGTTCAACTAGGCTGTTGGAGTCCTTGAATAAAGATTTCCTCTCCTTCTTAAAAGTCCTAACCTCTCTGCTGGTAAGGAGGAGGGGGTAGTTCACCTAAGAGGATACACAGTTAGTGTTAGTACTGTTAGTATCAGGGAAGGCAAAATTCTCAACATTGGGTTGAGGGTGCAGGGAGAATAAAATATTCCTAGCAAGATAAATAAACTCTTTCAACTAAGTGTTCAGTTTAATCATGTCTGTATAAATCTAAGCTCATTGGAAAAAATATGCTGAACCTTCATTACAGAATAAATGTCTGCTTGGTATAGTTAGTTTTCTAATGCACTGTTGATCTGTTCAAGCAATAATGCTCTGTTACTTTGGACTTCAGAATATCACTGAGAGAAGATGATAAAAGAAGGAAAAAATGTCTTAAGAAAACCTGCAGAAGTGGGTGTAGGCACTGGCTAAAGTCCTCCAGATCTGAATATTGAAGGTCTGCCTAAAGAGTGTATTTGGTTCCAGAAATCTGCGGGGCCTACCTGCATGTACTTGTGGACTGGCTCATCCCACCTCACCCACAGAGACTGTAAGTCTCTGATGATGACAGCAAAATGCTGTCTCCAGCAGGAGAGGGGGGCCCCTTTCCTGCGTCAGGCTGCAGGGCACCAAACCTCCTCCAACAGCACCTGCAGACCTCCTTGCAGCAGGAAGCACCAGTAGCTTTCTGCAGGGAGCTCCCAACAGAACCTGTCCTGGCACGGGCATGGAGGCTGCATTCAGACATGAATGCAGAGGGCATCTCCTCCATCACTGGCAGCCAGCAGCTCAATTATGTTCGACAGTTGAATCAGGAACTGGCTGGCAAATACAATTTATAATGCCATGCGAGAGACCAAGCCAGAGCTGTGAGTGACAAATCTGGCAATTTTGGTTCAAGAAGTACTAGGGCTAAATTTGAATCCCATGAAAACTGTGCTCAGGATTTCTAACGAATGGTCCCGGCCTGAGAGTGAGTTTTCTGCTTTGATGAGCAATTTCTTCACGTGAAATTTCTTCATGTGAAATTCTACTTCCAAGGCAACCTATATGAGGTAAGAGAGTTTACTGTAATTGACATTGGTATCTGGGACTTAACAGGCTTTACGTCTGATGTAAATCTGCTCCATTTGCCTTATGTATTTCCTCATTTCCCTTTCCAGCTTCCAGACCTCCCTGCACCTCCCAGCTTTCTGTGAGCAGCAGTGCCTGGTCCTGGGTTCTTAACTGACCTTAACTACAAGTTCATATCATAAACCCTTTCAGATCAAGTGGCCCTTCTATCTTTACAACTTAACTATCTTCTTAACAAATGAAGTCCTCAGTGACCTCAGTACATTCTTATCAGATGAATCACTTATGAAATAAATCTTTGCCTTGAACTTTATTGATTTTAATAACATCTTGTGCTTAGCCTGGTTGCCTTGACTTGACACCGTGATTTTCACCTAATTGTCCTAAGGAGTCTGGTTGTCTGCATTTTACAAGGTCGCCTGCTAAACTTTCTTATCACTGTAAGCATATCTCAGTACCACATTCCCTCCTTCTAAACAATGTAACTCTGCAAAAACAACATTTCTATTCCCACAACACTACTATGGATTTATGATTTTCCAACCATGTCAGCCTATTTCTATACCTATTTCTTACACAATATTTAAAACCTATATCTTGTTATCCAGTATTAATCCTCTTATTGGATTCAATGCAGATGGGTGGAAAAATGACAGCTCCAGATTAGATTTTTATGTGCCTGAGGAAACCAGCAAAATAAAATCCCCAAATTCTTGACATGTCCAGTGTCTAAGTGAAATTTGGTGTGTGACTAGAATTTTTTGTTGAATATTGAAATAAAGACCATATTTGGGGAAGTAGGAGATATTTTGGGAGATAGAAGAGAGAGGCTGTAGAGTATATAATGCTTCAAAGTGACCTTCATTTACTCATTTCTGTTTTCTTTAGTAGGGATTCAAATTTAATTCTCAGTCTTGGGATATACGAATGCACAAAGTACTGTGATTAGATTTGTCTGTTTTAAATTAAGAAAAGCTTGATTTACAGAGATATACATGAACACCAGCAGCCCCAGCATGGATTACATGTGTGTATAGAAAAGGATGAGAAAGGTGAGTTCACCAACATTGCAATCAACATGAGCCAAATTGCTCCAAGTGCTTTTTTTCCTGAACATTTCAGTTTTTATTTCTTCTGTTCCCATAACTGTGGATTACATGTGTGGGTGTTTATTTTCCCTCTGAGGTGGTACCTTATAAGCAAAGTAAAATTTTTTCAGATATCATTTATTGCCCTTTTGATGTGGACACAAAGCTTGGAGTTAACACCTGTACTTATATATGTAACCATGTATCCTTCAAACCTTTGATGGGTGGGGGGAAAATATTCTGCGTTTGGAGATAGAAAAATGTAAATTTATTTATTTATATAATTATTATAATCAGCTATACAATGTCCTTTCAGCCTTTTATCTCTGGGAGAGCATGTTGTGACAGGAGGATAAACACCACACAGCCATTCACTCGCTGTCACATAGAGGGATGGGGGAGAGCACTGAAAAAAGGTAGAAGTGTGAAAAGGTAGAAGTGTGAGAACTTGTGGGTTGTGATAAGGACGATTTAATAAGAAAGGGAATAAAACTAGAATTAAACAAACAAAACCACAAGAGATGCACAACACTGTTTTATTGTTCAGCATGATGCCACATGGTGTGGGACGTTGACCAGCTTGGGTCAGCTGCCCTGATTCTGTCCCCTCCCAACTCATGGTGCACCAGCCTCCTCATTGGCAGGGCTGCATGAGAAGTCCTTGACATAGTGTAAGCACTGCTAAGTAGCAATTAAAACATCGGTGCTGTTGACATTATTTTCACCATAAATCCCAAACAGTACCGTATCAGCTACAGCAAATTAGCGCAATCCCAGTTGAAACCAGGACAGCGAAAAAGAAAGGCTTTGAAGGAGCAAATGTTATGTTTGGGTTGTGTTTCTTTTTCTATTGAAGCAGAGCTATTGAAGCATTTTGATAAAAATTTTGTTTTGTTTTGTTTTGTTTTGTTTTGTTTTAAGTGAACGTTAAGTACTGTGGATCTGTAAACAGCATGCACTTTAATATGAACATCACTGTAATGTGAGAGCTCTCTCTTCTTGAGGCTTGGCATGACTGCAGGCAGAGGCTGAAGTCTGAACGAGCGCTTCTTGCCCTGGCACTGCTCATGTGTGGGGCTCTGGCTCAAGGAGTCAGAGCTGGGACAGGCAGGGGGGCTGCTCACCAAATGGATAGTGCTCCTTGCTGCAGAGTTTTACTACAAGGTTGACTTTGCTGCAATCTGAAAAAGTTCCTTCAACTTTTCCAGATGTATGCAAGTTTTCAAATACTTAGCATTGACATCCTGGGCCAGCTCTGATGGTATCAGGGAGACTGAGCAGCTCCATCAGCACTGTTTTTGTAGCAAACCACACCATGGTGTGCATAGCACAGCTGTCTCAGGTCACACCACTGGAGCAGCATGGACTGGATCCCTCTTGGATGAACCAAAACCAAAAATCCTCTCCAGGAGCGCCATAACGTCCTCTGTCACGAAGGGGAGGTTCAGACTCTCCCAAGAGGCCCAGAGACAAGATGGTGGCTTGGAATGGAGATGTGCAGGCTGAGCAACCTCATGTTGCTGTACTTGAGGCCTAGCTGCCAACTGCTCCATAGCCACCTTAATGCCTTGGCTTGTATCTTCACACACTGCAAAAAATGCTTTTGAGTCATATTACAAAAACTATGATTCAGATAAAAAGACTGGAATTTAAAGCACCTTCTACTTGTTGATACATATTAAGTATTTTTTAACTGAATTATCTGTGAGTAAAGGTCTCTACACAGAAATTTTGTGTAAAGCTAACAGTCACTAAGAGGAAATGTGTGTTGTTTCAAAACTGTGTGAAAACTAATCTGAGAAGACTGGGATTTCATTAAGTGAAATACTTTGTATTTCAGTTAAAGGTCTTCCACTATTTCACTTGATGATAACAAGATTGCTTCCAGGCATTCAAGAAATTAAGTAAGCAATATGCTTTCTCAGCCTGATATATTTTTTTCTAACTTTTTTGACAGCTATGTTTTGCAGGAGTGGTTTTTATTATTATTTTTATTATCTCATTATTTTTTACCTCCACCTGTACACACTATACATGTAATAATACCCAGTCTCCCAAATGACTTTCAACAATAAAAACAGTTTAGAAGATCCTAAAAGTCCCTAATACTTTTATTAAAATAATATTAAAAAAAAAAAAAGTTCAATTTAAATTTATAATGTTCATCAAATGACCCGGGAATCAAAAACATTAAAGTAACTAGTAGGATATTTCAGTATTAGATTAAAAGCTTAGGAAAATATTTTCTTATTCTCTGTAACTTGTTAGAAAAAAAATGGAATTTAAATAGTAAGATGTCATTAATATGTAAATAACAATCCATTACGGTAAAAACAGACTACACATTTGTAAACAATAGGACTTCCATGTAAATCTTAAATGGCATGTAAAGAAATGTCTCTGCAAGCTGATCCTCTGCAATATGTTTTACAAGTTTATCTGTAACACTGAAATATAACGTGATTATTGTTGATAAGCATTGCGTAAATCTACAATGACCCTTATAAAATCAGGCATTTCACTTAAATATATCTATGGTTTATCTAGGTGACATTTATGTTCACTGCATCTTTTAATAATCTTTAACCTGAAAATACTTGTAATATGTTTGGTGATAATGCAGCTTTTCCAGTAAAAAGCTGAGCTGTAAGTGAAGGATTTAACACTTCCCTGTCTCAGTCTGACCTGATCCACCAACAAATTGGACACTTTTGATGAAATATTTATATAGATAACATGTATAAAAGACTTTCATAATATATAAAATATAAAAATTATATATAGTATATATGTAATACATACACCATAGATGTTTGTTCATTGTCTTTTGTATTATAAAACAAAGAGTTCTGTTTGAGGAGCGGGAGTTGCAAAGGTTTCCTGCTGAAGTAAGGAGCTGTATAATGCTTAGCTAGACACTATGAAAATTCCATTGCTTAATGTAACAAAAAAGAGAATCCTCTCCCCTTCCCTCCTTCTGCATCTCAGTAGCCTCTTTTGTTCAGAAAACACAGCTGCAAAGTTCATGTAACCATCTCCTGATAAGTTGTTAAACTAGTGTATCAACACCCTGCCTCCCTGTCTCACGCTGGGCCAACATGACCAAATAAAGAAAGAAGTTGAACCACAACGCCGAGGAAGACTACGGCCTTCATCTTCACGACCACCAGAGGGACAGAGACGACCCCCTAGCAACAGTGCGCGCAGTCGCAGAGTACACCAAGATGTGCTGCGTAATCCTGAAATCACCAAGATATAAAAAGGGACCCTGGGGGGGGGGGGTAAGGTGCGCGCCGTTGGTGGAGCCGAGACTCCCCGGCCGCCCAGCGCTGTTTTGCTTGCTGTTGCTTACTCAATAAATTCCTTTCTATTATTAATGCAATGCTCTCTGAAAATTAATTAAGGGGGCAACTTATAACAAATTTGGTGCCGTGACTCGGATGAAGGCAAGTTGATTGAAAGACCTTCGGAGGGGGCGCCCCGCTGATTTCAGCGGCCTTCGCCAGGATTACTTTCATTCAAATCCTTCACCGACGAACCCTAAGTGTGAGAACTTGTGGGTTGAGATAAGGACGATTTAATAAGAAAGGGAATAAAACTAGAATTAAACAAACAAAACCACAAGAGATTGTGGTTTTGAGATTGTGATAGCCTGGTTATGCGTTTAGGTATTGCAACATTCATCCTTGGGTTGATAAAAAGAAGCAAGTGCCAGTGTATTTTACAGAGCAATCAGAAACCAACCCCATTTGTGGTTTCACCTTCCTTTAGGATCTCCCTGACAGAGATAAGGGTGCAAGGTTAAGGACAGTGATGTAAAGGGCATCATATTTTTCATAATACCGAATTGAAAAACAATGCAAGGATCCAAAAGACTAGTAACT